TGTTTACATTCGTTTCTAGTGGAGTAAATATCGAGAAAGTTGTGCTCTTGAATATTTTTGCATTTTTATATTAAAATTATTGGTCATTCTGAAATTTAGTTAACATATTGATAATATACAGTGCAGAAATTATTATGAAACACGAAGAAGGCATTAGAACCAATGCACTCTGTAAAGAATATGGCATGTCATCATCGACTGCCTCTACAATCAGCTGTTTGATATGTAAACAAAGCTGCCAGGAATATAACATACACACCTCAAAGTAAGTTAAAATACAGTACTGTATTTAGTTTATATTTAATGTTTTGTTAATTCTATTACCAGTATACAGTACAGTACTTTGTATGTATACTTTTTCTGTGAGTTGGAACCAATTACCCAATATCCAACTGAAATAATAGATTCAGATTCATTAAAAAAAATTTTGGTTAACAATCGACTCTGTGGAACCAATTGTGCTCGTTAATTGAGGGTCCACTGTAATTAATTTTTAACTTTCACTGATTGCAGTTTCATTAATGTTAATTAAGTCCTTATTCATGAATGTAGGAGTAAACTGTGTCAATATACTGTAAAATAACCTTTTTCTTTTGTGATCAGGGTTATCTTCGGTATACTTCTTGGTGCTTCATTATAACCAGGTATTTTATAGTTGTCATCTGATTTGTTCTTCTTTGTTTGTTTTCTTATGTAAAAATTAACCTGCTAGTTACCTCGCATTGTCATAAGTTAAAGCCTGAGTTCAAACACAAACATCAACATAGCATATACAGCCTGCTGTGATCTATAAAGTGGGTTTCTTAGAACCCGGTTGTTTTGTGTATGTTACATCCATCTGGGATAAAATTGACAGAGTAATGGATTACCTACACAGTGTAGAAAGAACATGCATTATATTCTGCCCTTGCATGAACTAAATAGTTGATAATTATGCAGTAATGTCATTGCCTCAGTTGTCTTCCTACTTATCCTCACTAATTCCTAGATATGTAAACTTGTAAAATTTCTTTTGCATGTGCAGACTAACAACCATTCATTTCTGATCAAATTATTGATCTTAATAAATGTACAGTTACTTGCATGTAATGAATTATGTGTGATCAGGTTTGATGTACAGTGGGGTATGCTATAACGAATCTAATTGGTTGTAGAACCTTGTTCGTTATAGCATTCGTTCGTTATAGGATTAATCTGTTCCAGGCAGCTACCGAACAGGGAGGTACTACCGCCTGGGAAGATATTGGCAGCATAATGTGTTGTCTAATGGTAGACCCTGCTGCCATATGGCATCACTAAAATTATGACCAAGTCCCAGGTTGCTGATCTGACTTTCTGCCTCATTTACACACAATTGTAGGGTCTCAATTGTTTCTATTACATGACAAAACAACATACATATATAGCGGTTTTCAATGTTGATTTTTTTTCATTCTTGCATTTCTTTGTATGTATTATCATCACAGTGTTGTTATTATTATTATTATTACCATTAATATTTTGTTTTGCTTTTTATTATAAATTTTATTTACTATGAATTATTATTATTATTATTATTAAATTTTCGCCTCCCGGGCCCTGATGTGGGTCAGTGACCTGTGCCCGGGTGGGCTAATCCCCGTAAAAAAAAATACAACCACTTAACACTGAAAAATATAATATAGAATTGTAAAAAATTGTAAAAAAGTGCATAAATATGCATCTAAACCCCTGAAATAAAGAATATCATTAATACTTGTAATAAAAAACAATAAATTAGTAAAAAAAACAAAAAACAAAAAAACAAAAAATAATGTTCGTTGTAGGAGTTTCGTTCGTTATAGCATTCTCAATTTTATAGGTAAAACCGTTCGTTATAGGAATATTCGTAGTAGAATCCATTCGTTATAGCATACCCCACTGTACGGGTATTTATTTGCATGGAGCATTTTTATAAAGCTTCCAAATTAGTCTCTTAGTGAAAGTGGGAAGTTTTACTCAGTATATGAATTGAATTTACATTCATATTCATACTGTAGTTAGTTTTCCAAAAGTTTAAATAAATTCCACAGAGTTTCTTATTAAATTTAGATTTAAAATTTTTTCCATAACCATCAAAGGAAGTTACAGCAAGAAGTTATGTGAACTAGCTAGATTCAACATAATTTTTAAGAAATATAGTTGAGGGAATGACTTTTTATTCATTTATAATTTTAAGAATGATAATATTTCCTTAATATAAATGCTTTGACTATAAGCCATCATTTTGTTCCAACAAGAAAGCCATTATTGGACGAGCTGCTCCCTAAGAAGTAGAATGAAAACAGGATTACTGTCTGTGGCTGCACTCTGTTGTATATCTGTGCACGACTCAGCTTTATCCTGATTCTTTATACAGTTCTAATTACTGAAGAAAGCATACTGTATTTATCTTCACTGGTAAAAACCACAAATTCTCCCAGCCCAATGCTTTCAGTAATTAAACACTACCACATGATACTGGGTCAGGGAGATTATCTTTGGAGTGGTAGATATCTTGAGGAAATTTAAGTTGTCAGTAGAGAGTGATTGATTAAATGACCTACCAAAGAGTGGTAGAGAAATGTTACTGATCATTTTCACCAACTATTTAAAATTAACAAAATTAAGAGAATCTTTTACTCAATACTGATTTTGTGATTCTCAATAATGTTGTTTTTTTATTCTCATTCTTGCTGTATTCTCTAAGATTATCAATACATTTAGATAGGATTGTTGGCCAAATGACAGATTGGTCAGCTGTGGATATCTTTTTGTAGTAAAAAATGGGAAATATATACAGTAGGTACAATTTGAATAGTATAATTCTGTACAGTACTGTGTGTGGCTTTGTAATTTAGTGTTAGAGCATTTGTCTTAAAAGAGCCCCAAGTTCAATTTTTGGCAGGAGTGGAGGATTAGGTTTCTTCCTTGCTCCCGCGGCAAAAAATTACATGCTGTACACTATTAAATGCACTTGATGATTGTGACTGAAACGGGAGCAACACCTGTTTAGACATTCTGCATCATAGCAAGAAAATTTGTATGCAGTGGGGTATGCTATAACGAATGTAATTGGTTCTAGAACCTCGTTCGTTATAGGATTAATCCGTTCCAGGCCCCCAAATACAACCACTTAACAATGAAAAATTTCTGTGGAAATTGTAAAAAATACGGTACGTTATCTTACCTTAGTGTTGTTAGCATGCAGGACAGGAGGCAGAGGAGGAGGGGGGAGGAGAGAATTATGGAGAAGAGGTGGAAGGAGAGGAGTCATCCTTCCTAGCCCTCTTTGGTGACTGTCTTACAGGCACTGTGTCTGTTTATTTATAAATCTTTCATAGTTTCAAGGGTTATTAGGTTTCTCACTCGCTTTTGACGATTCATTATTGTAATTGTACACTTGTATAACAAAATAGTTATAAAAATAACACGAATTTCCACATCAAAAGACGAAATTTCAACAAGTTCAGTGGTGCACTGGCTACACAATGAGTCAAAGATGGCACCTGACACTCTTGTTGTGGACCGCGGTACAACAATATTCATGCGCCAGACGAAATAGTCCCATATTCATCCGCGTTCGTTGTAGGAGTTGCGTGCGTTCGTTATAGCATTCTCAATTTTATAGGTAAAACCGTTCGTTATAGGAATATTCGTAGTAGAATCCGTTCGTTATAGCATACTCCACTGTATATGCATGAAAAGATAAAATGGGTATGTTATCACCACAAAAAAGAAGACAGTGTACACTAGCTTGATTTTGCTTACTAATTTCAACCATTACTCAAGAAGTATGTTGATGAAGTCATTGCTTGTATGCTCACATCTTACATGCAAACTGACTACAGACTTTAGAAATTTGGTTTTGTTTGATTTTAAAGTTTTAATTTGTTTAAATAATACTTAAGCAATTGATGAGTAAATGATTGACACTGCTGTTATGTTGCTTTAAGCAACATTTATGTGGTTTTCATTGCTATTCTTCAAATGATTATTTATATGATTTTGTATACTGACATAGTGTAACTAATTCTCTTCTTTTCTTAAACATTGATGCATTTTTACCACAGATATTGATTTGCTGAATTTGCAGCAAGGATTAGTTTCAAAGGAAGAAAAGCAGAAGATATGTAAAAATGTGAACAGTTAGGAGATTATAATTTGCATTGCTGGAATCCTTGCAAGACAGCCTATAATTTGAATATAAACATCATATATTTTGCTCAAGAGATAAAAATTGTAGTACATTAGTGTACAGTACTGTAGTACATTTTAAAATATAAAGTTTTTCAACTGTATTTTTGGGTAGATTTACATAAATTTCTTCATTTATTTTCATCCATTTACATGCACACACCATACTAAAAGAAAAGTAAAAGAAATAAATGACCTTAGTGCAAAGATGGAGTGCACATGTACTAATTTGATTATTGTACTAAAATTGTTATGTCTAGTGCAAATTACAGCATGTTTATATTCAAATTAATTAGTATCTTACAAGAATCCCAGCAATGTAAATTATATTCACCCAGGTCATTTCACTGGCTTTTTATAAGAGAGAAGCTTAGTCACTTAAGAACTGATAAATATACACGCGTTAGACCTGGGCCTGTGCCAACTGTCAAACCCCTCCCTCCCTCCCTCCCTCCCTCCCTCCCTCCCTCCCCATCTACCCAGCGTTGCTGGAATCCTTGTAAAACGGTGAATAATTTTAATATAAATGCCATGTATTTTGCACAAGAGATAAAAATTAATCTCCTGTATCACATTACAGTAGTGATTTAAGAGTAAAAGTGTATATGTATATATAGTATACATATATATACGTATATATATATATATATATATATATATATATATATATATATATATATATATATATATATATATATATATATATATATATATATATATATATATATATGAAGAGTATTACATTATATATAGATTGTCAGTTTTACACTGAATTATGAATATTGAATAAATTTTTCTTCTACAAGGGTGCTTAGTTGTACTCGTAGGACTGATTGGTTTTCTGATTACCAGAAGCAAACGTAAACCTGTTTCAGCTGAGGCTCTCATCAGTGGATATGTGCACAGGTAAGTTATAAGTCAGATATGACATACAGGTATTCTTCACTATCCAAATGGGTTAGGTTCCTTGAAAATCATTTGGATATATAATTTTCGATTTGCGAATCCGATTTTAATGGGAAAAATGGGGTTCATTTCCTAGCGACAAGAAATCCCTAATATAATACCTTAAAAAAAAATAATTCAGGAACAAAAAACCTACCTAACTACGGTACTGTAAAAGCTAAAGTTAATAAAGATATACAGGAGGTCCCCGGGTTATGTATGTCCAACTTACAAACATCCGCCAATACGAATGAGGTCTCAAAAATTATTATTTTAGGAATCTGATATAGGTACAACCGGTTCGTAGTACTAACACACGAGAACTAGTTTGAGTACCGGACAACGGGTGGGGAGTCTAGCGTCACCGAACCACGCGGTTTGCGGTAGCGTCAGTACACTTCACGCTTGCTCCAGCAATGTTTGTGATCAGGTGCAAACTGTTGTTTTATTGCTTATTAACTTTTTTATGCTATCATTGTGACTCCTAGATGCAATCTGATGCAAGTGATAGTAGTGCATCCAAGAAAAGGAAAACAATTACAACGGAACTGAAAGTTTATGTAATTAAATATTCTGAAAGAGGTGAAACACTGTTAGTCATTGATAAAGTGCTGGGCTTCATTCGGTCTTGAAGAAAGTTTCAATTCAACCATTCCTTGAAAAAAATTTTTAGGTCAAAAGGCAGCCAAAACCAGTCCCATCAACCTCTGCAGCATTCCTAGAACAACTCCAGAACCAGTTCCCTCTACCTCAGCAGATTCTCCAGAACCAATCCCATCAACCAGGGTTTCTCAACTTACCGTAGACCACTGACCCCCTAGGGGGCTGCATAGAGAAAAGTACCATATTTTTCCATTTAACCTATGAGGGGGGCCATAGCAGTAAATGAGGCTCAAAAAGGGTTGAGAAACTCAGATGTACATCATCACCATCATCTTCGGTTTCATTCCAATTAAGCCTTTCTCACCCCTCCTATAAATGCCCATCTCTACATGCAAGCCAGCCCCAGGTTTCAAAGAGTGTTAAACTTTAAATTTTCAGTATTTTATTTACCTGATAACTTATTATTTGCTTTCATTTACTGTATTTTGTTGTTCTATTTCTTCTTTTCTCTTAAATTCAGTGATGTTGATGTAAATAAGGGCTTAGGTTATGATATAGTGGGATTTTAAATGTTGTTCTGTAAGTACGGAATGCTCCTAGGGTATGTGTTTTGATTTAAGAATGTCCATAGGAACATAACTCGTTCGTAACCCAGGGACTGCTTGTACTGTACAAATTTTTACACTGCCTTATCACAGAATGCTCAGGGCTTGCCACAGGGGATGAGATGAGGAGGGGTATCCACCTCATCACTGCTGTTTACTGTGGACACAGTCATGCCAGCAGTAGTAGGAGTGAAAGAAATTCTGCTGGTGGAGGGAGCGGGAGTTGAAAATGCAGGTCTGAAGACAGTGTCAGTATTGAAGAAAGATGATATTGTACACAAGAGGCAACTACACCACTCCTTTCCATGGGAAGGTCTTTGGCTCAGAAAAACTCAAGCCCCTCTCAATGAGGTCAATGCCCTTAGTCAGAACCCTGAGATTGAGCCACCTCTCAGGTTCTTCCTATTGCTGTTTGTCATTGTCACCTCCCCTCTCCTGCTGAAGTTGCTTGAATTATTCATTGGTGAGGTCCTAGCTGTGGGACTGGAGCAATTTCCTGTCCAGTTCCTCAAAACCAGCCTCCTGAGCAAGGTTAACAATGGCCTGCTGCACTCTTGCCACATCAGCAAATCCAAAAATTTTTGTGCATGCACTTAGTCCAAATCTTGCACCACGCCATTCATAGTGACAAACTCCTTGATACTGGTTCGGTTGTCTTCTATCTGGTGTGCAAGTTCCTGCATTGTTCTCTGGAGGTACAGACTGACCTAGCAAATTCGTGTCACAGAAGTTTCTTTTTCTGCAAATCCATGCATATGTATGAGCATTCTCCAGTTATTGTGCTCATTTGAAAAAAGAAAAGAAATTGTTTTGAAATTTAAATGCTCATCAAAATCCTGGATTTGCAGAAAAGCAGACCTCTTTAACACTTATTCCATTCTATATAAACGATGTGACTTAGAAACAGGGCTGTGGAGTCGAAGACAAAACCTTCGACTCCGACTCCTCAAATTTTTATGCTTCCGACTCCGACTCCTTGGCCTATTTGTAACAACTATTTCTACCATCCTAATTGTAATTTGTATGTTGTAACCTGCATAGGTAAAAAGTAAAACACCGTGGCTATACTGCTACAGCTTTATTAATGATCTGGACGATATTTAAGAACTACAAAAAGATGATAGGCTTGACTTTCAAAGTTTCAATCAAAAGAAAAATAAATTTATTAAGAATTCAAGATATTAACTAGAAAACACCATTTACATGTATATCTAAAAGTTCGATCTCAGCATATGAATTTTGTTTAAGCTCATAATCTGATGTGGATCTAAATGATGATCCTACAATTCCTTTTAAAGTAAAGTTATATATTTATGTACATTAAAGAAATGAATACCTTATTAAGGAAAATGGATAAACCTTACATGATTAAGTTATTAAATTAAATTTGCCTTAATCTCACCAAAAACAGGTTGTAGCTAATTGTTTTGTAGCTGAGAGCCTCTGTGCAGTTTTCAACGAAACAAAATTTGATATAATTCAAAATTTCAAATGGTAAAGAAGAGACTATCGTCCAAAATTATAGTGCTATACTGTGCCTGCTACAATAAATTCATAATAATGCTTATAAAATGGAAATAAATTCTTTTAATAATTTAAGAAAATTAGTGGGATCAGTGGAATCACTGCAATGAATATGCCTGAGTTCATATATTTGTTCTTAGGAACAGAATAGCTTCAGTCGGAGTCGGAGTCTGGACAATTTTACCGACTCCGACTCCACAAGCCGAAATTTCCTCCGACTCCTCGACTCCGACTCCACAGCCCTGCTTAGAAATAAAGAAAATATAAAACTATAAAATAAGAAAAATGAAGAGCATGGGTATACACCCATGTGTGGGAAGTAAATGTACGTGTAGAGGCAGTGGACTATAACTGTATCACGAGCCCAGCTGTGCTCCCTCTCCCCAATGTGATGTCATGGGATATACTGTACACAATACAGCGCGGCAGCGAGCCACATGTCTCCGAGTCAGGTGGAAGACTACCTGGTTGAACTGTGACATTGCCCAGAGGATGGTTTGAGTGGGGAAGGATATTTTTGTACATAAAATATGTGCTATTGTATTTCATTGTTTGATAGTTTTTTTTCCATTTTTGATGTATGCAGTTTGAAAATTGTTCAAATTAGGCTAACCCTTTGCTCAATAAATCATTTAACTCTGAACCACATTGTTTTTATAGATTGGAATAAGTGTTAAAGAACTGTTCAATAAATATGGCATTGTGTAAGTTTGAAAAAATATTAGATTTGTTGTACAATTACATTAGATTGAGGTTTTAGCAAAGGATTAGCAAATTATCCTGTTTTTAATGCTTATTCCTCTAATCCGTGCCTTTTGGAAATTTGTCACAAATTTGTGAGGCCTACCTCTGTAGTAGGCCTTGAAGATGTTAAGTGCAAGAAGCATCACATTGATGTCTGCCCACTCTTCCATGGGGAGTTGGTGTGCAGGAGCTTTGTCAAGGATCAGGAGGAATTTATTAGCCAAGACATTCTTTGCACATGTTGAAGAGGTACTGAATGATGTAGTTCTGGATCAACATTGTCATTACCCACATCTTCTGATTGGTTTGCCAAATTATGGGAAGGTGATCCATAAGGAAACCCTTCAGAGCCCTGAGGTTTGAGAATGGTAGATGAGCATGGACTTCAGCTCAAGGTCATTTTCAGCATTACCACCAAGCAGAAGGGTGAGCCTGTCTTTGGCAGCTTTAAAACTAGGTACTGTTTTCTCCTCCTGGGCAATGTAGGTCCTTGTCCAAAAAAGCCCAGTCTTGTCGATGTTAATGACTTGTCTGGTCAAATAACCACCTCCCCAAATCTTCTTCAGGAGTTCTGGGAAGGCTTGTGCAGCATTAGCTATGGCACTTTGCAGCTTCCCTGGTCAGCTTCAGGTTGTGAAAATTAGCATGATGCTTAATCTGTTAAAAGCCACCCTGAACTTGCCTTAAAGTCGCACATAGGTTTGCTAGCAGGGTCCTTCTTGCAGTCTTCCTGCAATGACAAAGCCTTCCCCTTGATAATGAGATTGAACCGGGGGTGCCACATGAGGTCTGGTCTTCTATCCACAGCTGGAAAAGACACTCCAGGTTGTCTATAAAAAGTCACAGGATTGTGTTAGCCTGCTTGCATCCATCTGTGTGACATTCTCAGCTGCTTGCTTGAAGATCATGCCCACAGTAGAAGCAGGCAGGCCTAGGACTCGCCTGATCTTGGTTGGGCTTTTGCCCCATGCATGATGTATGTATATTATGTATGTTGTATGTATACTATGTATGTACTCCATTTAAATACATTACTTATCTAGTCAGTAGCGTGTGGCAATGCCCCTTTTTCATGTCACCACACGCTTAGATAATGTGCCTGGCGACATATGGAAGCTGCTAATATACTACTTGCCACATGTCGCCTGAGAGGTCAGTTGACCCATAGAGAGTGTAGGGACTACCGGTGCTGGGATTGCGCACCTCTGTACTTCCGTCAAATAGAACCTACAAAAGCTCTACAGGTGTTTGTGTTCGCTCCTGTAGTTAGAACTGAGTACCCAGAACCCCTACACATGACGCTTGATTATCTTCAGCTTGGTTTCAAGTGTTACAGTCTTACGCAATCTCTTAGCGGTGGTGGGGATAGCCAAGGAATCAGGAATCAGCAGATCACTTAGATGCCATGATATGAAGATGGTCGACATGAATACACAAGGATAAAGAGAAAGCACGGAACACACATACATATATACACAAACACACACTGAAAATGGCAGGAGGGAAGACACTGACTTTGGGGGAGGGGGTAGGGATTGTTGTGCTCAGTGAGGAACAAATACATTTCTGCATAACTCGTCAAGATTGCTACCCAGGCACACATGATTTGATTTTTTGATTGGACCACTTTTTGGAATAAGCAAAAATAATTTTCAGATAGTGAAAAAAAAGGTGTACATGTAATATAATATTTGGATAGCGAGGGATACCTGTATTATACTACTAATTTTAGTTATAACTACAGTATTTTAATATCATGCTATAAAGTTGATTATCTCAATTCCAGTAACTGTATACTTTACATGCACAACTTATAATGAAAAGGTATACTTTAATTAATTGTGTATTTTCAGGAAAGCAAAGCGTGGAGGCAAGGAGCCATTACAAGACATAAGTGAAGAAGAATGTTTATTAGATGCTGAAGTTGTTGATGAAGTATAACACTGATTTTGACTGATATTTTAACTCTTTTTGCACTTATGTTCAATGAAACCAAAAGAACTAAAATTCAATCATTATATTCTAGTCATTGACACATGCAGGTACTGTATAGGTAATGCCTTATAACTGTGTGTCTAATCTTAAGAAAAAAATTTCATTGTTATTGTGTATATAAGAGTAATGTACAGTAAAAGTCCAAAAATCCGGATGCCAGAAATCTGTACCACCTGAGAATCCGGACTTTTCGAAAACTCAAACTTAACTTTTTTTTTTTTTTTAGCTGGCTTTTGTGTGCATGCGTGAGCGCCACAGCTGCACAGCGACCACGCGGTCGCCACTTTAAAACGAGCAATCAAACTGTGACAACGTATGTAATTTTGAATCCTACTCATTCCATTTACAGAGTACTGTACAAGCCCATAATAATGGCTCCTAAAGTAGATAAACTTCGTTGTGTGAAGAGAAAGAAGAACACATTGAAATTGGGTGACAAACTTGAAATAATTAAGAAACTAGAACGTGGTGTGAGCAATACTGTTCTAATGGAAACATATAACATTGGAAAGTCTGCAATTTATGATATAAAAAAGGCAAAGAATAAAATTTTAGAATTCACAGCTTTTTCTTTAAAACTGCTCGTTTTGATAAATGAAGTATGCTATATTTGCTAATGAATAAACTATCAAAATGTACCTGTTCATCTCTTCTTTATTTCTCCTGAAATTTGAATTTTAAAAGTACTGCCTGAGAATCCGGAAAATCCGAAAATCCGGACCGACCCAATCCCCAAGCAGTCCGGATTTTTGGACTTATACTGTATGTGTAAATTTTACCCATCACTGTGACAACAACTTTCAAGATTACATTATATATTAACTTTATCTTTATGCCTTAGAACATGAAAAAAAAGTATTCATTAGATCTGATTCAAGAAAGCATCAGAACTAATGGATTGATGGAAGTGTAAGATAGATTCAGTAGGTTACTATTGATTTATTGAGAACAAGCATTGTTTGCTGTATCAAGCTTGAAGAGAATTGTTGACTTTCAAGTTTCCTATGGAAGTATACAAACAAAAATGAGAAAATGCAAGAATTTTATGTAATCCTTTGATGTGCACTGATTTCATCATGTACAGTATAGGAATTAATTTTTTTAAACTGCATAAGCAATTTGAGGATATTAGTACAGACAACGAATAAAACTTGCCGACAGACCTGGAAAAATGCAGTGGAGACCTCTGATAGCTATGGCTCCTTATACTGTATGTATACATATTAGGGTGTGTCATACGGAGGCGAATTTTTTTTTTTTTTTTGAAAAATCAGCCCATGGTATTAATGATGTAGTTCTATGTGCAGAATCATGTGATATCTTCAGATTTGAAAAGTTTTCATTTTTTGCTAGGTAAATTTTAACTTGAAATCTTATGAAAATTCAGTATTCCCACCCTTTTACCAACACCACTAATTAGCTTATTTAAAGTAAAGCAAATGTATCAGGTTAATTTATTAGGATGAAAATGATCCAGAATAGTGAAACGAATGATCTTGACACATTTATTAAATTTAATATTCCTTTAGAAAACAAAATCATCAAATACAAAAACCGGTTTTACTACTACGACCCGGTGTTGCTGCACACCATAGAGAACATGTCTTTCTTGCTTCTGTTTCTACTCATCACCTCCCTGCTGACCACCTGAGCTCGGATGTAGCCTTCCCTCCTCTCCTGGCTGTACACGTGACTGCTGGCCTCGCTCACTTGCTGTACACAACGCTCTATACTCTGGGTGTGCGAGGGCCAGGCAGGGACATGCATGGGGTTGTCCAGGAAAGCTCTGACTTGAACATTGGTGAGGCTGCAGGTAAGAGGGGGGCTCACTGCCAGCCTGGATGTTATCCAGATCTATGAGATCAGTGAGGGTCTTGGCACCTAGATTGACTTCAGGAGTCTTCCTGACCCTGAAGGAATCGTCACCAACTGATTCGTCATGCCCAGATCCTCTCATAAGTCTCATATCCAAGATCTTTTTGACTGCCACTCTTCTCTCCTCATCCTTACTGCAGAGCATTGTCTGCAGAACTGCCTCGGGATGAGCATACCAGGAAGATCTCCTCACAGTCTGCTCCACAATCTGAACAACCTTCCTTGGCTGACTCCTCAGGAGCTCAAGCTAGAAGAGAACATGCCTCGGACCTTCGGAGAACGATGACTTGACCTTGGTGTTGAACCAATTTGGCAAGTAGACACTCACGATGAATTGGACAATAAGTCTCAGGATGTGAAGCTGGTTCCTTTCAGTTTATGATGAGCGACCCAAATTCTGCAGAACCTGAGAGCGTTGTGAGCCACCTAGAATGTGAGACTGGACCTATCTGCAGGTAAGCAAGTCTATCAGGCATGACCCCAGTTTTGATGGCACTGCAAATCATGTAACCATAGTACTGGTCAGTACTCAGGTCGTCAATGACAGTATGTGCAAGCTCAACGAGTGGAGGGCCAACTGTGATTTTTTCAAAGCTCGGATTTATTTCTAACTCAGTGGCAGAGTCCAGCATCTTGCCAAGAGGACCAGACCATCTGTTGTTTGAAAGAGTCTTGCTATCCAGCTCCTGGATCAGATGTCTGAGTGGCAACTCATTGGTGTGGAGGTCACAAACAATCCAGACCAGCTTCCTCCCAATCTTCAGCTCTATCCACTGTATGACCCCCCCTTGCCACCCTGTGTTTGTGTTGGTGCTGTCCCCTCCAATGGCCTGCAGGGTCTGGTCTACGGTCCTCTCTCTGAGCCAGTTCACAATGTTATCTGCCACTATCTCAGCTGGTTTCCTGATGTCATCTTTCTCTGGAGTGAAATGCCACAAATACTTCCCTCCTGGTTCACTGCAGCAGGAGTAGTGTTCCTCCTTCACCATGGCAGGGAACAACTTGTCAGAATCTCCAACTTTCATGAACGCTGGTGTCATCCCTTCTCCCATCAAGAACAAACAATTGATTCCATTTTTCTCTTATCCTTATCAAACTCACTCTTCTAGGTTACTGACAAGTTTCTCCTGAGCTCTCCTTACTTTGTTATGATCTATCACCAGGTAGACATCATCAGGTGTTATCAAACCACCGTCAATCCAGGCAGCTGTTGCTATCTCTGCAGTTTCTCTGAGACCAGTGTGGTGTCGCATGCTGGCCAGAGCTATGCTCGGGATATCTTTCCTATTTCGAATCTTATGCCTGGAAGGTTTGGGATCATTATTTTCTGGGTTAGGGACAAAGTTACCATTCTCCTGGTCAGCACTCGGATCAGCCATGGGGAAATCATTAAACTCTGAATCAGCTTGACTCCAATCATCGGCCTTTTTTACCTCACCCTGGGCCTTCTCAAGTCTCTTCTCCTCTTCTGTCTCTCTGTGGCAGCCTCCTGTCTCTTGGACTCCGGAATATCTTGGCTAGAAATCATGAGAGCCCCTATACTGCCAGTCTTCTCTCTGTGCTTTGACAAATGCAGTTCGATCACCAAGAATCTTCAGTTCGCTTGCAAATACAGGAGATGTGGGCCTCGGATTTACAGTCGCGATAAAAAATGAGCTCAGGACAGAACAATTGTGGGCACTTGCAAGTAATTATGTCAAATGCTTCAGGGTCAGTTGGCAGCAAGCTGTCATAACTTTGCAAGTTTTCCTCTCCCAAGAGATATCTCTTGCCTTTCCCAACTGGCTAGCCCAGTCTCTGCTAATCTTCTTCTGACTTGTTATGACTGGAGGCTTGAACTGAGCGTTAGCCGAGTGTACTGTGCCAAGACAGCTTTGGTCATATCACTGGCAATGTCTCTGTTTGTGTAAGTTCTTTGGTTCTTTTCACTGATTTGCCTGATTAAAACACCGTATCTCAAAGCATCTCTCAATGTAGGCAACTCCGACTTCAGGAGCTCTCTCCCAGACCCAAGATAGTGACTGAGATGGCTGGATTTTTGGTTCCTCGTCCTGACACAAGCAGCCATCGCAAATATTATCAACTTATAAATGTATCAAAAATCCTGAAACAGAAAAATATTGTTAGTTAGGTTGTTAAAAGATGAAGTCAGAAAGCAATGTTCACTATTTAATTGTAATGCACTAATGCAGCTGTACGTTAGATTTTCGATAAATTTCACGCTAAAATTTACCTAGCAAAAGGTTGCAAAATATTGAAACTGAAATTATTTTCTGTTTATATACACTAAAATCTACCAAAAAAGTGATGGGCCATTAGTTTTAGCTGATCTTCCCTCCTATGACACACCCTAATACATATATCTATATGATTGTATTCATTTTCTATTTATAAAGAAAGGAATATTTCACCATGTAGGTCCAAATGAAGCCCATTCTTCTTGATTGATTGGCCAGAGTAGGATAAGGTTGGCAAGGAAAAATGACAGCTGGTGCACCATATTATATACTGTATTGTACTTATAATTTACAGCATTATACTCAGGGCTGGATTAACCATTAAGCAAAATAAGCACGTGCTTAGGGCACCAAAAGAAGGGGGCACCACAGGTTATTCTTCTGAAGGTATTATGCCTTGTAGTGACCAGATCATATTTGCGATAAGACCTAATGGGCTAGTGTAAAACCACCGCATAAATTTGGTTAGAAATATTTATCCCATTTTGTTTGTTAACTATGTTTTGTAAGGGTTTTAAGCCAAGAAAACCAATGGAAAACGGCTTTATTTATACACATTTAAGAACGTTCCTGAACGTCCGAAATTGTCTAGGTTCATTCCCTCGCCTCTCAGCCCTCACTCAGGCTCTTGCAGTATCAACGAAATGTGACTATTTTAACGTGTGGTTTGATGTGGATTGTGTGAAGTAACAAGTAAGTTACTGAATTTCTCATTAATTAAATTACTTTATATTTACAAAATAAAGAAGTAGATATTTTAACTATATAAATATATTGTGTTACTAAATTAAGAGCAGTAACTCTAGGCCTAGTTGTTATAATGAATAAGGTTAAATCAAAACTGTCTAATTTAAGTGATTTTATAATTATCAAATGTTGAAAAAATTCAACACTGTTTTTATTTCTTAATTGTCTTTAACTGTATTTGTTCTAGTTCTAGTATAACATCAGTGATGAGAAAATTCAACTGTTGTTGGAGTGGGGAACTGTAAACTCTGATTAGGCTATTAAAACAAAAACAATTATCAACTGTTAATAATCCTATGTTTTTCACACATTTGGCTAGTTAAACACTTTCAATTCTACTACAAAGCCAAA